GAATGCAGGGAAACAATTTGCTTAACAGATATCAGTGTTTTATGAAAGGATGCACTCAGCCGAGTGCTGGTGGCTCATGCCTGTAATCCTAGCTACTCAGGAGACTGAGATCCGAGGATCGGGATTTGAAGCCAACCTTTGCAGGAACATCTGTGAGACTCTTATTTCCAATTAACCAAAAAAATGAATGAATGAATGAATGAAAAGCTGGTAGTGGAGCTGTGGTTCAAATGGTAGAGCACTAGCCTTAAGAATGAAAGCTCAGGGACAGTGCCCATGCCTTGAGTTCAAACTCTGGGACCGGTCCCCCAAAAGAAATGATAGGACTGTGACAGCCAGATGGAAGAGACGCTTCGATGTAAGGGGTGTGGACCTCCCTCTCCTCTCTAGTTCGTCCGTGGGAAGCTCTGATCCTGCCCTTCCGAGTTCTCCAGAAAACATCATCACGTAGGCATCCTTGATTGAATCATCGGCCCTAGGTGAGCAACTCAGCCATCAGCTCTGCTCCCCCCATTCCTGATTGAATCACTGGCCCTGGGTGAGCAACTCAGTCTTCAACTTTGCTCCCCTACCCTGAGGTGTTTCATTCCTGGGAGAAGGTGGAGAGGAAGGGTGTGGCACTGAACTTTCTAATCCTTTTATCAACTGGCAAGCAATCCCATCTTGAGCTACACAGGAGCCCCTAACCATGGAACATCTCATTAGCATAAAAGATACTTACCAGAGATGAGAACTACAGTTTGAAGCCAGCCAGGGAGGAACATCTAAGAGACTCTTCTCTCCAATGAGCCACCAAGGGCTGGAAGTGGAGCTGTAGCTCAAATGGTAGAGCGCAATTCTTGAGTGAAAGAGCTAAGGGTCAGTGTTCAGGCCCTGAGTTCAAACCTCAGTGTGTGTGCATGCGCACGCACACACACACTGACACACACACACTGACACACACACACACACACACACACACACTATGGTGAGAATGTGAACTGAGAACATTTGTCTCAGAGACTGTATGGTTGTAGAATGATGATGTATGTTTGTGTTTACTCTCATCTTTGATGTATGTCATTGGGGAAAGCACGCTATCAAGGCACCAAGCTAAGGAGGCCAGTCTGTGAATGATCACCTGGCAGAACATTCTTGCTCCTGGAGTAACTCCAACTAGGACCAGGGGAAAAGGTTGGAGCCCACATCCATTACCCTATGGTTTTCCCAGCCCTGTAGGGAGATAAAGATCTCTTTTAAAGATTAAACTCACAGTTCACTGGAAAAAGATGGTAATGTAACTTTCTCCTACCTTCTGGCTTTGAGGAAATTCTAATTGATGTGCTAATTACTTCTCAGGTTTAGAGTGACTTTTTGGTTGCTGGATCCAAAAGAGGATGAGGAAGTCTCCCCTAGCCTATAGCTTTAGAGGAATCTGTGGAGAGGTTAGGAGAGGAGAGTAGATTTATTTTCCAAACAGAAAAATTCAGGCTCAACGGAGAAAAATAAAGGACAGGAGTGGCATAAGATCACTCAAATGAAAGACCTAAATCCAGGAGCATTTTGGAAAACAAAACACCAGCATTTGTTTGGGGAACTCTATCCTCCGATGAGCTTTCCTTTCAGTCAGTACTTTTGTGGAGGGAATTCCCCATGTTCTATCCTCTGCTGGGGATTAGAAGAGCCCCAGGTCTTGGTCTGGCCCAGGATGGAGCCAATGGGCCAGGCCATACCCACCTGGGTCACTGCCTCTCTTTCAGTATAGGTTAACCTGTTATCCTTCTCTGTTCTTTTCCTAAGCTTTCTCCCCCCACAGCCACAGCTTCTCTGTAAACCCCGTGATTTGACATCTCCTGTCACATAGTTCTCCATGGTGATGGGTATACCTCATAGAATGAGTATAGCATTCCTGACTTATTCCACTATGGGTCAGTAGCATCCAGTCTAGTTATGACAGCTAAAAATGACCTCAAATGTTGCAGACTAACCTCCTGGGGCAAAAATTTACCCACGGAGAGGCCTGGGTTCTAATCCTTTCTAGAAGCCTTCCTACAGGAAGCATTTCCCTTCTGCAAGGTGTCAGAGGAAGCCCTTTAATGGGCTTTACATAGAGGATTTTAGAAGTCTAATGAACAATAGAATCAACTTGAGGGTATCTGCTAAGGAAGGGCTTGGAAATCTGTGTTCCTAACAACAGATGTTCTTGCTGCTAGTTCCTAGACCACAGCTAGAGAGTGAGACTGTGTGTCTGGGGTTTCACTCATCCAGGTTTTCTTTTTTTTGTGGGGCGGTGGTCCGGTCGTGGGGCCTGAACTCTGGGCCTGGGCGCTGTCCTTCAGCTCTTCAGCTTAAGGCTAGCACTCTACCACTTGAGCCACAGTGCCACTTCTAGCTTTTTCTGCTTATGTGGTGCTGAGGAGTGGAACCCAGGAGCTCATGCATGCAAGGCAAGCGCTCTACCACTGAGCTACCTTCCCATCCCTCATCCAGGTTTTCTGCCCACAGGAGCCTGTGTTCAAGACTAGCAGTCTTAGTGGATATTGGGCCAAGGTCTCTGTGTTTGCTCCTTGTCTTCTCTTCTCAGGTACTGGCGCTTTGGGAGATTCATTAAGGATAAGGCCTAGACTACACTGGCCTACACTAGCCATGTCCTGTTTTCTTTTCCTTAGCCAAACCAGGTGGGTATCCTGGAGCCTACCCAGGCTTATCCATACTTCTGCCTCTGATCTAGCCTGTCCTGTACCAGCTCATCTCACCTGCCTTCCTCCCCTGCCAGGAGTCACCTGGGACTGTGGCTGCCAGGAAGAGGCTACACTTTCCCCTCAGCTTCCCTCCTCTCTCTTTACCTGGTCTTCTCTTCACAGTGTCTTGGCATTTTCTTCCACAGTAGGAAGGGACTTTCCTTCTGGGAAATCCTGCTCTCATGGGTGCTTTTGATCCACTCAGCTAACTGGATACGTGGTCAGGTCTTTCCACTGCACTGGTGTTCCCATCACGCCATGCTGCCTGTGTTCCCTGGATGATTCCCAGTGGCAAAGCACACATCCAGACTAGCCTCCTAGCTGCCCCTTACCCCAACTGTCTATTACCTGTTCAAGCCCACACGTCTGTATTCCTCCTGGTTTCTAGAACCAAAGAAGAGTTCTATTTTGGCTGAGGGACCATAGGTATTTTACCTGCATGTCAGGCAACTCTTCCTCAAATTCTTGGCCCAAAGGAATTAAAGGTGAGGTAATTATAGGTTATGTTCAACCTGTGAGTTCCGTTTCATCACCAATAGGGTATAACTATTGGATTCTTTCAATACAAGTCCCTCTGCTTGGCTTTTGCATCACTCTGCACACTTGCCCTCGGGGTGGGGGGGTGTACAATTTCTTCTTCTTTTTTAAGTTCTGTAGGTATAGCGATTGAAGCTCAAGGAAGCTAGGCCCTGATCACTGAGAGCCCATTGTCACTTGACCCGAGGGCTTGCTTTTACCTCTGTCTTAGAGGAAAGGGTGACTAGGCAGTGATGAAGTAATTCTCTAGGTAAGTATGACCCATTTCCATTTCTCCACCTCCCCCTTCTTCATCTGTCCCTCCTCCAGCCCTCTTATATATATATACATCTCCACAAAGCCTTGTTTACCTGTATACCTTGACTTTTTGACATAAGGTCTATAGCTGGGCCAGGAACTTTTCCATCTACAGGTATCCTCTCCTCTACTGGTGAATGGTGAGAGAGCCTGCCTAGCAGCACCCTTCTATAAAGAGAACTGACCACCTTCACACAGCCAGCCGTGCACATCACTCACAGGACCTGAGGTGAGTGTGTGTGTGTGTGTGTGTGTGTGTGTGTGTGTGTGTGTGTGTGTGTGCTCCTGGGTCTTCTGAAGGAGTACACTGCCATCCGGTTTGGGAACAGAGGTTAAGAGTAGAATGGCAGAAGTCAACTTTTTAAGTGTTTCTATTAGGACAGGATGAAGTGAGGAGCTGCTTTTTCCAACTTGACATTAAGGGAAGTTTAGACTGTCTAGAAGGGAAGCCAGCACGATAATGAGACCCAGAGATGAGCTTTCAAGAGGGGTTCCAAGGCTTATAGTGTATGTAAGGACAGAGTGAGGAGAAGATGTGGATGCACAGACCCAGCGGGACGCTGGGGGCCTCTTCCCTATTCCAGATGTTGACGTTCATTCCAAACACAGGGCTTCTTTTTTTCAGTATTTTTTTTTATTGTAAAGATACTGTACAGAGGGGTTACAGTTACATGAGTAAGGTAATGAGTGCATGTCCTATTGAGCATTCTTACTTCCTCCTTTGTTTTTCCCCTTCCCTTCCCACCTCCCCAACTCCTCTCTCCCTTGAACCCCGAAGTCGTAAAGTTTGCTTTCAACATGGTGTCTTGTGTATATATGTCTTGTATATGTCTTGTATATATATATATATATATATATATATATATACACACACACATATCACATTTTCTTGATCCATTCATCTACTGAGGGGCATCTGGACTGGTTCTATATCTTAGCTATGGTGAACAATGCTGAGATAAACATAGTTGCCAAACACAGAGCTTCTTTCTTCTAAGTGTGGAGATTTCTCTTCAGGTGTAAGACAGTACCTGGGAGGGGAAAGGAAATTAAATGGTTGTGGACTGAAGTAAGAAAAAAAGGGAGAGAAAGAGAGGGAGAAAGGGAGAGAGGGAGAGAGAGAGAAAGAGAGATTGAGGTGGGGGGAGTAAGACGAACAGAAAGGGCAAAGGGACACTGGAAAGAAATTCTCTACTTGGTGGTGTGGTGGGTGGGTATGGTATTTTATAGGAGGTTTTGAAGGTGATTCATCTGGAACTCTGATTCCTCCCTCTGGTGAGGTAACTTGAGAAGTCAATTCTCTGAGTGAAGAGTGAATAGATCAGCTGATGCAGCAGCATGAGTGTATGACCCAGACCTGCCTCCTGCCCCCTGCCCTCCACGGGCCTGGATTAACCATTTGAAATGAGAAATCAGAGCTAGTTGCTCCCAGGAGGAGAATTAGACATGCTCAACTGTGCCTCGATTGTGCCTCAAGGCCCAGTCCCAGACCAGCACATGCCTAGGTGAGCTGCCTTTCCTCCCAAGTTCAGACTCACTATGCAAGTACAGAAGCACATGAGAATCCTCCGTTTCTTTCCTTCTTTTCCTTTTTCCTCCCTTAAATTATTTTCTTTAAGTAGTTGTGCCAGGAGTTGTCATTTAACAAAGAAATGTATGAATACAGCACGCGTTGATCAAAGTCATCCCTTACAACATTCTCACCCATCCCAGAATCCTCCATTTCCTACCTTGGTCAAATTCTGGCAAGGTGGTTGGAGGCAAGGGGGAATGGTAATGGAGAAGGCAGGAAGCGCAGTGGTGTGCAGGTGGATGGGCACCATGGGAGAAGGGATGGAGTGAAGGTATGGCCACCACTATGAGACTGAGGTCAGAAGAGCCCTCACCACACCTCAGGGCACTCAAACAAACCCACAGATTTCCAGCATTCTTGCATGGGAACTCTCCTGCTGCATTCATCTTCTGTGGCTACCACAGAATAACGGACGCTGGGTAATTTATAAGGAGAAGTGATTCATTTGACTCACAGTTCTTAAAGGCTGCCACATTCAAGATCAGCAGCCTCACATCTCAGTGGTTCTTGTTGGTGGAGACTCTCAGAACAGTCCTAACATCATAGAGCAAAAAAGCCCAGACAAGAAAGAGCCAGACTGGCTTTTATAGCAGACCCACTGTCCAGACAATCCATCAACCCATTAATCCATCAATCCATGAGTGGACAAATGTGTTCACGAGAGCCGAGCCCTCATGACCTAATTACATCTTACAGGTGAATACGTCACAATGGGGATTAAGTTCCAATGTGAGTTTTGGGGGGAATCTGCAAACCACGTCACTAGGCTAGGCTCAGATTCCCCAATCCATGTACTCCTGAGGCTGGCTTGGGCAGACTCAAAGAGCATTATTTTGAAGACACAGTGCTCCTGTTCAAGGTCTGTCTCTTGGTTCATCCAATCCTCCCGCCTTTTCCTTCGCTACAGATGGGCTTCGGGCTGCAGATAGCTGCTGCCCTTTGGCTCAGCCTAATCCTGCCTGTGGGGAGCCAAGTGCCAGAGTTCCGGGCCTACGAATTCCATTTTGGGCCCTGCCACGTGGAAGGGGTAGCTCTTCTAGAGCTGTGGAAGGCCTTCAGGGCCATGAAGGACATTGTGGTGAGTGGGGTGTTGCTCTGTTTTATGATCGTGAAGATCTTCACGGTTTTCTCTTCAGTGTCCTACATCTCTGTGATGGCAAGAAACATCACAAGCCACTTGTTATACACAAGCAATGGAGACCCAGAAAGACACCTAGTGAAATGGGGCGGGGGGGGGGGGGAAGCCCAAGGGAAATAGAGCTTGATCTAGCTTTATTATGGATAGACTCTGGCTCTGAGTTAAAAATCAAAGGCAGAGGACACTCTTAGGGTGAAACATTTTGGTGTTAGTACTGGGGCTTGAACTCAGGGCTGGGCACTGTCCCTGAGCTCTTTTGCTCAAGGCTAGATAGAGTTCTACACTTTGAGTTACAGAGCCACTCCCAGTATTCTAGTGGTTAATTGGAGATAAGAATCTCAGGGACTTTCCTGCCTGGGTTGGTTTGAACTGCAATCCTCAGATCTCAGCCTCCAGAGTAAACCAAGATTACAGGCTTGAGCTACCAGTGCTCTTTTTTTCTTCCTCAAGGCTGATGCTCTACCATTTGAGTCACAATCTCACTTTGGGCATTTTGTTAGTTAATTGGAGATAACTGTCTTACAGACTTAGCTGCCTGGGCTGGCTTTAAACTGATCCTCAGAATCTCAGTCTCCTGAGTAGCTAGATTGTTCAAGCAGTCTTATTGACACAAGGAAGCAAATGTCCCTCATTAAATCTGTGTCCAGACTCTAAGAACCCCTGGGGAATGTGGTAGACAAGCTTGATGGTTAGGACCTGTATCCCCTCCTCAGGAGCCAGCTTAGCTTCTGAGTTCTCCTTTGGCCCCTCTAGTCTCAATAGTCTCACAGCCTGGATGGTTTAGGGTCTGGGGGTGCAGTGCCTGTTTGCAGAGGTGGGTGCCACTGGGGACCCCTTAACCTGAGACCTCTTTTCTTTCCGCTCCTGAAGCAAGCTCAAGATAAGATCACGAGTGTCCGGCTCTTGAAACAGGAGGTTTTCCAGAACGTCTCGGTAATTAGATGAGGGAGAGGGAGGGCACTTCCTCTGTGGGGCTGATGGGAGCTGTAGCTTTTTGCTTACTCCACATTGGACAGGACCAGGCATGAGCAAGAGTGGTCTGGGTCTGGAGCTACCATTTTGTGAGTCTGGGGAGGGGCGGGCTGAGGCTCCTAAACAACCTTCTCCATTGGCCCAGGGTTGCTGCCAACCTTTATTTCCTCTTTGCTTATGGAAACTCAAATGAACCCTTCTTCCACTTGCATCTTTCCTCTCACCTACTACTCTCTTATCACCCATTAGTCAGTCAGTGAGCACGGATGTTGAGCCTGGATCCCTGAGGGATACTGGGGTTCCGGAGCCCAGGGGGCTAGGGTGCAATTGCTCTCTGTTCAAGGCTGTCATGTGTTCCCTTCTAAGTCATTTTCCTGCCAGGTCCCAACCCACAAAGCCCATGTTCAAGTGCCTTTAGTGTCTGTCATATTAGAGAGGCTGGGTGCTACAGAAGAAAGGAAATATTAGCTGGAGAGCCAGGTGTCCAGGGTGCCAGGCCTGAGCTGTATGGCAGGGCGGGCAGAGGCCTTGGTTCCACCATGACCTGGGTCTTCCGCAGGATGCTGAGAGTTGTTACCTCGCCCATGAGCTGCTGAAGTTCTATTTGCACACCGTTTTCAAAGACTACCACCACAAAATCGTGGAGTTCAAGATCATGAAGTCATTCTCCACCCTCGCCAACAACTTTTTTGTCATCATGTCAAAACTGCAACCCAGGGTGAGTATGGGCAAAGCTGAGACCAGCCAACTGGGGATTGGAGTGTTTGAGGATGCTTCCCTTGCCTTATCTGGTCCTGGCTTTTAGATCACCACAGCAAGCCATGGGCATCATGGAAAAGTGTTTGTGGTGCAAGTCTGGGTCTGTCTGATCAGCAAGGGACACCTTGCCAGGTGCTCGGACGCTTTGGGCCTCAGTTTTTTCACCTGTGAAATGCAGATGACAATTCTACAGGGAGGAATTGCTGTATGGATGAAAGCGGACAAGGCAGAGGGTGCTAGGCATGGGCTCCTAGAGACGCAGAACTCAGCTCTGTCTTCTCAGGCCTTGGGAACACCTTGGCATGACCAAAAGAGCAGAAGGGAGCTTGCCTCTGCTCCTACCTAACTCTTGTCAATTCTTCCATTTGTTTTTCTGTCATCCAGCAGGAAAATGAGACAGTTTCCGTTAGGGAAAGTGCCCATAGGCGGTTCCTGCTGTTCTGGAGTGCATTTAAACAGGTGAGGCCAACACACACTGACTAGCTTGAGCTGCCACAAGGGGGCACCTCCGAGGCCTAATGCAGAACTTAAGGCAGATCATTACACCAGTCTAGCCACACACCCACCTGATTTAGCAGGAACTCAGTACATTTGCATCAATTTGCAGACGCTTTGGATAAACACCACAAATAAAAGGGTCATTTCTTTCTGGTAGGGTTTTGTTTTATGCACGTACTAGGGCTGGAATTCAGGACTAGGGCCCTCTCCCTTACCTTAGTAGGTTTTTTTTGTTTTTTGTTTTTTTGTTTCTCAAGGCTGGTGCTCTACCACTTGAGTCACACTCCACGTTTGGATGTTGCCAGTTAATTGGAGCTAAGAGTCTCATGGACTTTTCTTCCCTGGGTTGGCTTTCAATGGAGGTCCTCAGATCCCTGCCAGTGAGTAGCTAGGATTATAGGTGTGAGTCACCGGTGCCACGCTTGGATCCCTTTTTATAGGAACAACTACATTAGCTTGAAAATAATGGTAAAGAGCAAAACCATAGGAGGGAAAAGAGCCACTTGGGCTTGTATTTTTGTCTGCAAATTCACTCAGATGTGAGCCACATTCTTCCAGGCTGCCCTCCATGGTTCTGGATGTTAGGGGCTCCATGTACTGACTTTCCCCTGGCCCTTACTTACTACTGTGGCTCAGTGGCCTCTTCGTCCACACCATTGAAGCCAATGTACATAAGTGGGTGGGTATGTTGTGAAAGCGAACTAGCTACTAATCGGGAGTCAGGCCTATTTTAGGCATGGCTAATCAGAAGGAAATCGATTCTAATAGCCAACACCGCCAACCTTCATCTCTGTATTCCCTGCAGTTGAACACAGAAGCAGCTCTGACCAAAGCCTTTGGGGAAGTGGACATTCTCTTGACCTGGATGGGGAAATTCTACCATCATTGAATGCCTCGTCCAGGATACCCTCCTTCTCTTTTCAAGATACAGTTGCTTCCTGTGCTGTCCTCTGGGCACTGCACTCCTTGACAACGTGCCCCCTTGTCTGCCCAGGCTTGTCTTCACAGGACTTCATTTCCCAGTAGCCCAAACACCATTCATGGAAGTCACCTTGGGAAGCTGAGAGAAAACCACTTAGTGGATTCCTATATTTATCACAATGCTATTTAAGTACTGTCAGTATTACAACTGACTCCATTTATTTGTGAGATGTATGGTTCACAAAGGCAGTAGACTGCCATGACCCTGTTCCCCTGTCACCTTCCACGATTCCCACAACAGTCTGGGGTGAATGGGTACTCGGCAAAATATTTAATAAAGTGGATTTCTGCTTGCCTGTGGATTATTGATGAGTAAGGAGGGATGTTGGGGTATGAGATGGAACTTGAATGCATGGAAATGATCTATCTGCAGGAACAGAGCACTGGGGTAGGAATCAGGGGCAAAGATTTGAAAAGTGAATGTTAGAAGATAACATGTAGTTAAAATACTCAGCACAAAAGCAGTGTCACTAAAGCTTTCCTGTCCTGTCCACACTTGCAGCCCATCCCCCCTCAGCCCCTGCTGGCTCTTCTCCTTAGGTGCCCTTCTTTCCTCATGGTAGCCATTTTGCTTTTCTCAGGTGACAGTGTCAAGCAAGCATTGCTGACAGTGACAATGTCCCTGGGTGTACTGTTCAATCTGAGAGGACATTTATTTTGCAGTTCCATTTAGATCTGGAAGCCTTTCTTTGCTACTTCTGAATGAGTGCCCAGGAAGACTGGGCTATATATCTGGAAAGGCCAGCAGTAAGAGGAAGCCTTCTCTAGCCCTAAGCTCTGGCTGTACTTTGTAGTTGTCATCAATCCAAAGATAATGTCCAGCTATGATCTTGCTTCACAAACTTCAGGGAGAAGAGTATATGTTGAAGGTAGGATGCCTCTGCTTCTGATATGGATGTGCTCCTGAAGAGCCCCTGCCTCTAGAAGACACATGCTGCTTTGCTTTCTCTCCCCACCTCGCTCTCTCTTGTCTGGAACTGGTATATTTCTAAAAGCAGATAGAGATGATCATTTGGGTTGAGTAAATTAGGCCAAAGTTAAGATAAAAATGCACAACTAGCATTGCTAAATGTGTAAAACATTGCTAAATGTGTAAGAAGGATAAGAGGGGAAATGTTGGAGTCAGGGTAAATTCGGTAGCAAGTGGAGGAGACCTAAGGAAGATTCAGACATGCATGTTTGCCTATCTGTATCCTTAACAAGGTAAGTTCTAAAAATTTACTGTATCATTATGTCAAGATAAATTGCCTTGGGGCTGGGAAGGTGGCTGAGTGGTAGAGCGCTTGCCTTGCATGCATGAGGCCCTGGGTTGGATTCCTCAGCACTACATAAGCAAAAAGAAAAAAGCCGGAAGTGGCGCTGTGGCTCAAGTGGTAGAGCGCTAGCCTTGAGCTGAAGAGCTGAGGGACAGCACCCAGGCCCAGAGTTCAGGCCCCACGACCGGACTCCCCTTCTCCCCCCCCCCCAAAAAAAAGATAAATTGCCTTACTATAGGATTGAAATTCAGGAGGAGCTCCTGAGCAAATGCCAGCCTCTGGACTGGGACAAAGACCATCCATGACATGTTTATACACCAGGCTCCTTCCTAGCTCTGGGAACATCTTCACCATGCCATCCAATGGCCTGTTGTTTGTGTGAGACCAGACCTGGGAAGGGCTTTGAGGCAGCAGCTGTGCCTAGTGTCCAGCCTGATGTTAGGCAATCAAAGTCAGGGCTAAAGATAGCAAAGCCCACAGCCCGTTTGATGGTATGGAAAGGAAGCAGACAGCACTGGCACAAATGATCTGCATGCCCAACTGATGAACACGAGGATGTAAAGGTATGTAAGGCTGGCTGAAGGCAGGACCACGCCAAGGCACAGGTCCATGGATGAGGAGGTGCTGAGGACTCTAGAAAAAGATGGAACAGGTATTGGACATGGACAGGCAGATAAGCCTCATTGGTACCAAGGTATGGGCCCAAGGGAACAGCCAGGAAGGTGAGTCAGGTTGGCAATATTGACATAATCGTCTGAATCAGTGTCCACCATCTCGACAGCAGGCTTGTGGCACAAGCTCACATATTCACAGCTGGCTTTCCACGGTTGGGCAAGGAGCCTGGGAGCCTCAGATACCTGGGGATAACCAAGAAGCATCACTGAAACTGGGTAGATGATTTTGTCTCTCTCCAGAGGGGTTTTCACAGCAGGGAATGGGGGGGAGGTATGGGCATGGTTGCTGAGTTTTAGAAAGCAAAGACACTTCACCAAGTGGGCCAATCCTGGGGATTTTCAGAGTGGTGTCTCACCTCCAGCTAACTGGAAGAGACTTTGACCTAATATAGGCAGGAAATGCCTCAGTGGGGCTCAGACTGAAATCCTGTGGTCATGTCTGGTCTGAAGGAGACCAGATATAGAGCAGTATCCCCTGGGGACGAGATGCTGTGACTCGTGGAATAACTATGCATCTTCTTTGGGGAGTTATTCGTTGGTAGAGTGAGTCACTCTTGTTTGGACCTTCATCAGGGCTGGGAAAGGCTTTGGCATAATATGGCACAACAAGGCATTCTACCCTGAGGCTGGGCAGTGAAGAGGCGGGGGACTGCAGATCACATAGGGGCTGTGGTTTCTCATCCCTAGACAGAAACTTCAGGACCATCTGCACCCAGGATGGTTAGTTCATAGTTATTGTAATACCATCCGAGAATCCCACAGTCAGGATTGCGATCATGTTTTAAACACAAGTACTAAGAACTAGAAATCCAGTGGACCTTAGTAAGTGATCACTAAAAGGAACTTTTACATTTTGTACTTTGTGAAAGATGGAAGCAGCAGTAGTAGCCATCTCCCTTGGGGCTCGGAAGGTGGCTCAGTGGTAAAGTGCTTGCCTTTCATGCATGAGGCCCTGGGTTCAATTCCTCAGCACCACATAAGCAGAAAAAGCCGGAAGTGGTGCTATGGCTCAAGTGGTAGAGCGCTAGCCTTGAGCTGAAGAGCTGAGGGACAGTGCCCAGGCCCAGAGTTCAGGCCCCACAACCGGCCAAAAAAAAAACAAAAAATCTCCCAGCTGAGTGCTGGTGGCTCTTGCCAGTAATCCTAGCTACTCAAGGGGGCTGAGACCTGAGGATTGGCCTTCCAAGCCAATCAAGACAAGGTCCATTAGACTTTTATTTCTAATTAACCAGCAAAAAAGCTGATGTGGAAATGTGGCTTAAGTGGTAGAGCACCAGCCTTGAGTAAGAAAGCCAAGTAAGAGCTTGAGGCCCAGAGTTCAAGCTCCAGTGCATGTGTACATAGGACACACACACACACACACACACAAACACACACACACACACACACACACACACACAAATACTCTCCCAATGCCATCATTTGAGACTAATTCATTGGGCACTGGTGGCTTGTAGCCTAGCTACTCAGGAGACTAAGTTTGATGCTAGATCGGGCAAGAAAGTCTGTGAGACTGTTTATCTCCAATTAATTACCAAAAAAGTCATAAGTGGAGTTGTAGCTCAAGTGTTAGGAAGCAAAAAAGCTCAAGGACAGCACCCAGGGCTTGAGTTTAATGGCATTAAAAAAACTACTCCCTCTGAAACATATATGATCAGCCAGTAGGCATAGGCACCTTGTTGTAAACTTGTTCTGTCAAGTTGTTTGTCCCTCGTAGTGGAAATGAGGGTCTCTAGGAGGGAGACAGGATATGCTTCCTTCAGGTACAGCCCAGGCAGGAGAAAGTCTGAGCAGTCATGGGTGGCTTTGGAGGGAAAGGCAGGTGGCTGTGTACAATAGACAGCACCAGCCTGGCCATTGCTAAGCTATGGGAAGCTTTCTCCAGCATAGGTGGGTGGGTGGAGGCAAGCTCAAGAGTCTGGAAAAGACCGCAACAGAGCAGAGCTGTGTATCGTTGTCTCTTTTCAGTAAGGCACATGCTTGTCAGTCAGAGCTCCTAATTTAGTCTCCCTTGAAGGTAGAGGTCGCACAATGCACCATGGAGGTGATCTGTCAAACTTAAGGGACATGGTCTGAAAGAAGCAGCTTTGTCTTCCTCCTTGTGGGCAGGGAATGGACTTGGTGCCCGTGACTGCGTTATGGATGGTAGTACACAAGGCAAGACCCCGCGGGATGGCAGAGTAACAAATCTCTGGATAACCACATGGCTCTGGCCACAACTTCTTGTCCCCTCTCTGGCCCTGAGAGTAAACTTGCTCTCCATTTCCTGAGCTCTGTGCTTTCCTGTCTGCTGCATTAGCTTAATCTATACTAATTAAAGTGTGCATTTACTCTTCTTACAGTTTTATTCCTTTTTTTGATTATGATGTCTCTGGTCAAGAAGCGCTGGACGCTTAGAAGGACATGTAAACCTGTAACCTCTTTGTATATCCTTTTGACGTTCAGAAATCTTGTTTTTTTTAGATTTTATTATTATTATTTTTGTTTTTTTGGGTCCAGTCGTGGGGCCTGAACTCTGGGCCTGAGCGCTGTCCCTCAGCTCTTCAGCCCAAGGCTAGCACTCTACCACTTGAGCCTCAGCGCCACTTCTGGCCTTTTTTTTTTCTGCTTATGTGGTGCTGAGGAATCGAACCCAGGGCCTCAGGCATGCAAGGCAAGCGCTCTACCACTGAGCCACCTTCCCAGCCCTCAGAAATCTTTTTTAGAAGTATTTTAATGACAAGATACTTCAGAGAATGCAAACGTTTTCTTAATTTGGGAAAATGGATGAATAGTTTAAAGGCTTCTAAAGCTATGGAAGCTGGAGTTCCGTTCTACCCATTTCTAGATTTCTGAGTCCTCCTTACCAGTCCTCTTCTCCTCACCTGTTGACCAGGTCTCAGAAAATCACTGTGTAAGTCCAGCCTACTCTCCCCAGTGATAGGTAAATTACCTTTTTTCATTAGAGAAATGAAAATTCTGGAAAATTCTTCCTCCTTTTAAGGAGAAACTGTCCAGGTAGATTCCACCCCTTTTAGAACCTTCCAGAAATCTAATCTGGCTCACATCAGTTACCACTTCTATTCTCTACCAAACTGTGGGCATCTGACATCTATTTATCCCTTGAGAAATGCATGGCCAACAAGCCAGGTAAACCAAGGCCACAACAATTGCTGGGATGCCAGAGTCTGAACACCAACCACCAAAGGAGGAAAAGGACCTAATGTGCGCCCCACTCGGGGCCCAAATGCTGGGAGAAGACTCAGCCAGACTAACTGCACTCAGGTCCACGCAGGTGGCTGCCCAATGGCTGGTGGAGCAAAGCTGCGGCTTACCTGCGGTGGACCCTGGGGTGGCGCCGAGGCTCCGGGACCGGAAAGAGCGGTGTCCAGTTCTCCTAGGGGGAGGGGGAGGTGAGGGCGTGGCGAGACAGTACCCTCCCCATGCTAGGGGCGTGGTCAAAACATAAGCTCCGCCCCTCCTAGCCCCAGGCTGAGGTGAGGGTCTGGCCAAAGCGTGGGGCCCTTTCTTCCAACCCCCCCCCCCCATCCCCACCCCAGGGCTGGGATCATTCCCTTGCTCCCCCACCCCGCCCCGGGGCTGAGGTGAGGGCGTGGCCAGACCTTCATTCCCACGCTCCCCCACCCCGCCCCGGGGCTGAGGTGAGGGCGTGGCCAGACCGTCAGTCCCACCCCCATACCCCGTCCCGGGGCTGGGATGGGGGCGTGGCCAGACAGTCAGTCCCACCTCCATACCCCGCCCCGGAGCTGGGGTGGGGGCGTGGCCAGAGCTCCGCCACGCCCCAGCCCGCCCCTGCGGGAAGCCCTGGGAAGACCCGGGAGCTGGAGTACGGGGCTCCGGCCTGGCGTCCACGCGGGGTCTGCCGCTCGTTGCCCCCTGTCTCCCTCCACCCGCGTCCGCTTACCCGCGGGGTCCGGGCCCCGGGCGCGCCACGGGCAGGCGCTGTACACGTTGTTCTGGCAGCGCGGCCTCTGCGCCCCGGGAGCCCGCGGCGCGCCCGGAGCCCGCGGCGCCCGCGGCGGCTGCACCGACTCCGAGACGCGCACCCTCCGCGCCAGCCGGCGGACCTGCCTGGAGAGGGCTGCTCGGCCGCCCCGGGGAAAGGAAGGAAGGAAGAAGAAAAGTGGCCCGGGAGCCCAGCGGCCACCTGCCGCCCCCGCCCCAGGGTAAAGGCTGCGCCCCTTCCCGCGCAGGCAGGCTGCGGGGTGTGCAGAGCGGGGAGGCCCGGGGCGGCCCGCCCATCCCGCCCGCCCGTCCCCACCTCCGGCCCCTCGGCACTCCCCCCCCCCCCCTTCCCTGCATCCCAGGGACGCTCGAGGTAACCGGCCTGATGCCTCTGGAGTCCAAGCCCGGTCCATATATGCTGGGTACTTGGGAGTGCAGCTCCCCCACCCAGGCCCCAGCTCAGCTGCTCACCTTTCCTCCTTTGAACGGCTCTTTTAATCACCAGCCACAGAAGGGCCAACAGGAGAAGGCCCAGGATAGTGGGTACCAGGATGTGAAACCCATGGTCCAAGCTCCCCGAGCTTGAGCCATCGTAGTGGTAGAAGGATCTAGAAGGGGAGGGGAGAAAGAGGGTAAGCAAGGAAGATGGGTATACAGAAGCACTCTTCTTTGGGTGGAGATGACTGACTGACGCGTCCCTTTGTTAATATAATTTTCCCCCATTTCACCCAAAGAGACTAGAGTCTTGGGTTCCAGTTCTTATCACATAGTCTTGTACTGGCTGTAAACACTAATAAAACCCCTACCCAAACTAGGAATCAGGTGTCCTGGGTTCATTTGAAGCTACTTAGTTTCTCATGGTCTCCGTTTCCCCATTTATAGGTCACAAATGATGTGTGAGGTCCTTTTCCTCCCTAACATGTTTATATTTGCTAAAATGAAAGCAATTTAAATGGCTTAGTGGCTGTCCTTAACACCATTCTCATTTAGTTCTCCATCAAAACAGATTTAAATGAACCTGAGTGATTGAGAGAGATCTCATTTCATTCTACAAGGTCAATGTTTGGAGTGTTGGCCAGTGTATTTTTGTTAATAGGACTGAATTAATGTGATACATTTATAGCATATTTTGCAGCAGCCTTCTGGTGACAGTGCCAAGAAGGGTGGCCAACAGTGGACATTGCTGGATGGCCTCCGGGCATCTCTTAACTCTAGCTTGTTTTGCCTGGGTTCTAGCCTATCCTGGCTGGTGGAGGCTCTTACCTCTGCCTGGTGTGGTAGTTGTAGCTGGTCACTTGGTGCCCGAATAGCCCCTCCTGAGTGGGAGTTTTTGAGGTAGTGGTTGTCAGGAGAGTTGGAGGCTTGGCAGTGGCTACCGAAGATGTTCTGGAAACTCCAGGATAGTGAGTTGCTGGAGTGGCTGGGGAGGAATGGTGGGCTGGAGAGCTCTCCATCCTTTGAGCTGGGGTGGTAACTGCAGGAGGTGGTAGGAAATAAAAAACACCAATTTTCCATTCATACAATGTTCTCTAGTCTCCAGAGTCTTTAAGAAGCTCTTTCTTTTTGCCCAGGCTACCTTTGCTCTTGAAGTTCTCATGGCCCACGTGTCTCCCCGGCGTATCATCTACACTGAATCGGTGTAGATCAGTACCACTTCCTTGGGAAACCTTCACTAACTTCTCAGGGAGAAAACTGACCCTCCTCTGTTTATAGTTCTAGTCCCACACTCCTACTGCTATGTGTGTACTTATCTATTCTCCCAACCCCTTCCTGTCGGTCACAACTATGGCTCCATGACCTGCCCACTTACCTTATTCTAGCACCTAAAAGGGTGTAATAATACTCTACTAGTGTATCTTTCACATAGGATATGTGTGAAGATGTGATGAAAACGGTGTGCGTCAAACTGTATTTAAAATTGGAAAATGATTCTGAAATATGAAGTTACTATTAGTATGAGATTCATCCTTAAATTACAAAAGAGAGTTGGTAAAAAAAAATCACTGGTGGACATCAGGTACCCTTGTAGGTAGAAGGAAGCATGATGATTTCCAGTAGGGAAACCTCTGTGCAATCTTGGTTTGGGCAGTCATTAAAAAAGGATCTAGGTTTTGTGAATGGAACACAGACTTCATTATGTGTGGTGCCACCTGGTGGTGGTGGTGTGTAAGTTCTACAACTAGGGCTCAGTTTCTTGGCTGCAAGGAAGAGTAGGCTTTGGAAATACATATGTGAGACACAGTTCTGCTCTACTAGATGGATTTGTCCATCCTCCATTTTTCACAATGTCACAGCATCCCTCCCCAGCCCCACCTTTTCTACTACTGTTTTGGTAAACTGACCTGCGGCGATGAATTCAGAAGATCTGGTTTGTGTGACGATTTGGAGCCACTTGGGCATCTGCATGTGCAGGTATCTGTGAAACCATTCTGGAGGCCCGGATATCGGCTCCTCTTCCAAGAAGGGCTCATAGGCTATTGGAGGCAAGAGAAATTTGGTGGTAGTCTGGGGATAATGGAGGAGGCCTGGGGAAGGGCTGGTGGCTATTAATAGATGCTGACTGAGCCAGGGTAGATGGCAGTGAGGAACTGAGGATGAGCAGAAAATGAAATGGGCTCCCTTCTCGGAAGGAAATATTCTCTCTTTAACTCAGCCGACATTTCTTTCAAAATCATCAGAGATAATTGGGACTGTCAACTGCAGCATTATGCTGGGTATGTAGCCCCTGAAGAGGAAGATAAAGGCACGATTCAAGAGAAATAATAGAAGTTGTGGTTTATAAACAATGATAAACGTGGTTTTAAAATGTGGCTGGATAAATGCGTGTCCTTTATATTCATTTCTAGTATTTCTCACAGGACAATGATGTCCCTTTAAGTTTTCTCCAGTTTGAGAGCCTCTCCTCAGCCTCATGCCTTCCTTTCTCCTCAAGCCATGGGCAGGATGGTCTAACACATAGACAACACCTGTCCTTCTCCTTCCATCCACTGTTGGATAGAAGGTTTCATGGCCCAGAGGTGAAGTTTAGCTTCAGAAATCCTAGTTGTTGCTGGACTGGCTAGCATGACGACAGCATAACAGCCCAGGGACTATTGCAGTTAGATGCAAACATTTCCCGGGTGGCCTGAGCAATCATGCAGTTGGGGCACCTACCATTGTGTACATTCAAGATGACTTTCTGGGTCTTTCCCAAGTCTGTGTACTTGCCCACCCCACAGGCATAGATTCCGCTGTCACTTTCGGTCAACTTCATTATCGCTACCAGGAAGAGATTCTTGTCTGAGCATGGCTTCAGAGTGATTCGGTCCCAGTATTCCTTCCTGATGAATGTGTTGGACACCACCGTAACACAAGCTCCAGACTTGGTCATCTGCCGGCACAGGTACGTCCTCATGTGAATGTCAGGCATTGGGCACTTGATGGTAATGGATCCGCCCAGCTCTCCATCCAGCTGTACTTCCGGGAGGATCCTCAGAGCCCCAGAGACTGCAAAGGAGAGAGAGAGAGAGAGAGAGAGAGAGAGAGAGAGAGAGAGAGAGAGAGTTGATACAAGAAGAGGCCCATCCACATCTATATTCCAACCCAGCCACTTCCATACTCTGAGTTATCTCTCCAACCTAGGCCCCATCCCAGCTTCACACTCATCTTCAGATCCAGTCCCATCCACCTCATCAGCCTACTGCCAGCCAGCCCTTAGCCCTGGCACAATGGTGATTTCTATCTTGGCCTCATCCTTAACTTCTTCTCAGGCCAGCTCTGTACCCATCCCAATCCTATTTCCCAGCCTTTACCCTATTTCCCTCTTGTCCCAAGATCCAGCCTCATTACTAAATATGCAAGGATCGAGACACCTTCCCTCTGAGAATATAGTCAAAACTACACCTGCACCACCAAAGGAGAACTCATATTTGAGTGACCCCAGCCCCCCACAATGGTATATACCCTGCAAGTCATTTCAGGTTGGTACTGGGAGGTGTGGTAGAGTTATACTGCAGCAAACTGTCCTTTTCAGTTTTGCTTTGCTCAGTCTTAGCCAGCCAACGGTTCCTTACACCCATTCTCTGTCTTCCAGACATTCAACAAGTAGGTATGGAAAGCCTTTCACGTGTGCATGAATCATCTGGCGATGATATGAACAGACAGAGACCCTGGCATGGTGTAATAATGGGGACAGGCACCAGGTTTCTTGGGAGGACAAGCAGGGGCACCTGATCCAGGTTGCTGAGGGGGAATGAGAAGTTGAAGGGAGGCTTTCTGGAAGAGGTGCTGTGCGAGCTGTGACCTGAAGGAATGGGCAGGAAGAGTGATCAAGAGGCGCCATGCTCATCCCTGAGGTAAGGAACGCATAGGAAGGAAATTAAGGGCATGTATGAATCTGAGTGCACATGTATGTGGGTGTGTGTGAACACATCATATGCGTGTTGGAGAAGAGTAAGAGCTGTGTATTAAAAAATCCCTACCATCCAAAAGCTTATACATTGGGTAAGAGAAAGGCAGATGAGTGCAGTTTGACCGGTACAGAAGAGGGTAAAGGCTGGGCTGATTAAATGTCAGCTAAGTCGTTCTCAACATGTTTGTGTATTTCTAGGAAGAAGGTGTGTGGAGTAAAGCGTTTGTGTGTTGGAGTAAGGTTAGAGGACTGGACTGAAGAGGGGTCTAAATGGCAAGAAAAAAAAGTCCCCATAAAAGTGGGAAGGCAAGAGAGAACAGAGCATGTGGATGGGCGTAAGATGTCTACAAAGAGTAGATGTATCCAAACCGTGTGCTCAGAATAGGCCCAGGTCTAGTCAAATGAGAGTCAAGAAAAGGGTCAGCAAGTGGCAAGGCTGGAGTTTTCTGGATGAGGAGGGAAGGATACAGACAGGATAAAGAGGTAGAAATAATCATGGAGGAGAGATAGAGGTATGCGAGGGTAGGAAGGGGCTAGAAAGTGGGTACCTACAGGAGATCCTGAGTTCTACAAGTGTAGCTGATATTAATGTAGAACCAGATGGAGAGGGCCCAGATAGAAAGTCCAGGCACAATCACAGCAGTAATGTGGTGATGGAAGGGCGACCTGCTCATGAGGACTCAGCCGATGTCCCAGATCTAATCAGGAGTTGGGGGAAGGGGGTGAGTCACCCTGTGCACTCATATCTGCATGGGAAGCTGAGCACTGAGCTGAGCACCTCAGCACCAAGGGTGGAAATGCATGAGTGTTTTTGAATGATGCTAACCCAGCCAGAAGTGGGGGTAGGGAGGGGAGGCTCAGGAACAGGATGTTACACAATGGAACAGGGGCAAGACAGAGAAGAGATGGGGCCATTGCCTATGAAGTCTCATGGTATATACGCTGAGCAGATGAAGCCCAAGGAAATCTGGGCACACTGAGCTCTTGTTGACCAGAAAGCACCAGCTGGCAATGTGAAAACCGCCTGCTTTCAGGAAAAAAGCATCAACTCGCTTTGATGTGCATGGTAGCTGCAAACCTACACCCAAGACTTAGAAAAGCAGATTTCCAAGAGAGACAAGTAGATAAAACCCCTTGGTTTAGAATTATAAAATGACCTAAGCCACGTAGGAGAACTCACTGCACCTTTGGTGCTATCACATATGCATGGTGATTGGATTTTTAGACAGGAGCTAGGTATCTACATTGTTTCTGTGTTGCCTATACTGGGGTTTGAACTCAGGACCTTGATCTCTCTCTTGACTTTTTCATTCAACGTTGGCACTCTATCCCTCGAGCCATACTTCCACATCTGGCTTTTTGCTGGTTACTTGGAGATAAGAGGCTCATAAACGTTTTGAACCACAATCCCTCTGATCTTAGCCTCCTTAGATCTATATTTTAAAGAAACATCCCAAGGTTCCCTGTCTAGGTCTTCCATCCTGTATTACTACATTTAAAAATGGAGACTGGAGGGAAGGGATAGTGGGAAGGGGTAACAATGATAGACAAGAAATGTAGTCATTGCCTTACTCATGTAACTGTAACCCCTCCGTGCAGCATCTTCACAACAAAGTAAAAAAAAAATTAACAAAAATGGAGATTCGAAGTTTCAGTAGCGATGGTAGAGGTGAGGAGCTATGTGGTTTAAAAACTCTCTCTTGTGGCACTGTGGCTCAAGTGATAGAGCACTCACCTTGAGCTGAAGAGCTCGGGGACAGTACCCGGGCCCAGAGTTCAAGCCCCATGACCGATTTAAAAAAATAATAATAAACTCTCTCTTGCCAGGCACTGGTGGCTCACACTTGTAATCCTAGCTCCTCAGGAGGCTGAGATCTGAAGATTACAGTTCAAAGCCAGCCCAGGCAAGAAAATGTGTGTGGCTCTTATCTCCAATAATTTACCCCCATCCCTCCCAAAAAGGCAGAAGTGAAGTTCTGGCTCAAGTGATAGAGTGCTAGCCTTGGGCAAAAAAACTCAAGGACAGTGCCCAGGCCCTGTGTTCAAGCACCAGGACTATCACACATGTGCTCACGCACACGGGCGCATGCACACACGCGCTCTTTGTCTTCATGTATAATGGGATGTAAATACATGTTAGGGTTGTGGAAAATATTCTGTAGTTTTCCTAAACTATGGCCAAAGGCCCAGTGGCTTTTGGTGACGATGGGGTATAGATTTCACCTAAGTGTCTATTTCCTTCCGTGCATGTCATATTCCCAGCTCCTGCCTTCCCTCTGACACCACTCCATGTCCACTCTGCTTGAATATCTAAGAGGCTACCACAACAGCCACAAGAGAATTCTGGATTCCTCTTTCCAGTCCTGTTCTTTCAGATACTCTTTCCATCTCAGAAAACAGAACTACCATTCATCCACACATACCCTCATATTAATGAACCCAAAATGCATCCTAAGTGTATGGGGTGTGTGTGTATGTGTGTGCGCGTGTGTGTGTGCACGTGTGTGTGCACATATCCTGAGTCACAACACTAAGTATAGGTATTATTGTTGTTAAGGTGAAGGTACTAAGAGAGTTGCAAGCCCACATCCTATACTACTACTCCTGTATCACTTGCTTTATGGTAGCACTCCTCACTGGGGCCCAGGCATTGTGAGTGTCTACTGGCCTGGGCTCCAGGGACAGGTCCACTCCTACATTAGTAGGATCCCGGGTGGTAATACAAATCAAGGTCCAAATACCACCTGTCTGAATAGTTAATCATTATAATAAACTGTTGAACAAAATATTTCATTTTTCCCCATCTTAGCAAAATCATACTGGATGTCCACTTTATAATGTGACCGTGCAAGGGAAAATGGCCCCAAATTTCCTGTCCCCATCCTGTGGTCCCTCTCCATCCCTGGCTCTTGCTTACATTGAAAGGGTCCTGGTGTAGACATAGTAGACACCCTACTCTGAATGTATAGCCCTCCCACTACTACCTCCTTCCCGGATAGATACCTGTGGCCACGTTAATTGGCCAGGTGTCAGCCTCAGGAGAAAGACCCAGAATAGAAGCTTGTACAGTCATTGAAGGAATTCCAGTTCTAGCAGGGGGGAAATTAGTGTAAACTTGGGGCGGACACTCCATCCTGGACCTGTGTACTCTTTACCCAGGGGGTTGGGTCTGGCTAGACAAGGCTGGGGCCTGGAGCAGGGTCTGGAATGGCGTTGCTCTTTAGGAAGACTGTGGAAGCACAAACTAAGCACCCTTTATACCTTGCCATCCTCCACTCCTCCCCGCCTCCTCTTTCTGAGGCCCATGCTTAGCTGACCAACTGTTGTGCCTGTGTGTCCCTCTGTCTCTCTACTTCCCAGAGTCTCTGGTAAGTCCATTTAAATTCCATACCTTTGGCCTTTCCAAGCACTTCAGTCTTTTTTTAAAAAAAATACAATAAATATTTGAGTTTCTTCCATATTCAAGACATTATAAAGTATGGATGAGGAATCTGTTGACCCTTGAGGAATTTATCATGTAATAAAGTGAAGAATATAAACTCACACTGAGCTACAGTGTGAACGTGGTCTGTTATTGGCACTCAGAAGTGTCTATGAGAAGAAATGGTATTTGAGGTGGACTCCGAAATCCACTAATGTTAGCGTTAGTTCAAGGGAGAGTCCTGTTTAGTAGAGAGAGGTTACTGTAAGTGTATTTAATTAGTAAACAGTGGGTGCCATTGACATTTCCACAGCAGCAACCCTGAGTCAAGATTAATTGGGAGCTGCATACCCGCTACCTTGAAAGAAGTGGGAATGAGAGTTGAGGGATGAGTGTGTTTTCTTTCCTTTCTCCATCTGCTATTGCATGGTAAATATGGATCTAGAAGACACAGGAATCGACCACTGATTGAAGCAAAGTCTTTATGGAGATGAAAGGGCAGAGGTAGGAAAAAACCGTTCTGTAATTTTGTGGCTGATGTTAGAGCTACGAAGGCCAGATGGAATAGCGGCCTTGCATGGGGACCAATGAGAAGCTTGGGGCAAGGTATTAGGATGGCTGTGCTTCAGATGTTCTAGGGAAGTTGAAGTGGAGGTTTTGATATGAATTATGGAATCAGAAAACTGATTCAAGCTAGTAGATGGAGTAAACACTGGAATTTCAAGTGTGAAAAGAGATCGAAGGAAAGAGAAAGTAGAGATAAGAATACAATTTTAGAGGCACCTCCTTTAGGGACCCATACTAGTAGGCAAAGAAGGTATCCAGGAGAATGGCCTTGCGGGATAAACTTAACATAACAGTGTCTGGAGTGGAGAGGGGACCCCTGGATGCCAGTGGGAAAGGCCTTCAAGGCTGTCTGGAGCCTTCATCCTTCTCCTGCCTTCTCCTAATTTGCAAGTGGATCTGTCTAGACACATCCAAGGTGGAGGTGCCCAGCAATTGAATCCCTATGGTCATTTCAATCTTTTAAGAAACCTGAAGTGTTTTCCCAAAGCACTTACCTGGCAGGAAGTAAAGGGACCAAAGCCAGAAGTCCATGGTTCTTTTCCAGAGTCAGGTGCCACCCAAGAGCTCCTGGAGGGGGCCGGATACCCGCTCTCCACCCAGGAGCCTTGCGCAATTGTGAGCTTGAAAGAGATTTTGATCCTCTCGAGGGGGCAAAAGCGTAAAAATGAGGAAACGACAACCCATCATGTTCCCTAGCTATGTTTTGACTAAAAAGGAAAATGACAAACCACAGCGGAAGTGAGGGGTTGAGAAAACAGGCTGCGAGATGGGTCACCGGGGTTCAAAGAGCCTCTAGGAAGCTCTCAAGACTGTGTACAACCACCGGGGGGATCTGGTTCCTTGCCGGTGAATTGTGAATTTCTTTGCCTTGGAACATTTATTTATTTGTTTGTTTGTTTGTTTATATTCTACAGGTGTTACACAGAAGGGGTAAGTTATGTAAGCCAGGTTACAGTTATGTAAAGTCAGGAGTGCTTTTCTTTTTGGACAGTGTCACTGGTTCTCTCGCTCTCTCCTAGTGTTTCCCTCCCATCTCCACTCACCAGTCTGATAGTTCCTTGTCAACAGTGTCCAGTGAGTACCACAGCTGCATTTATTCACCATTAATCCCTCCATTTCTATGCCCCCTTACTCTTCCAAGGACAGAGAAATGAATAAATAAGGCCAAAAGAAAAGAATAACAAAGGGAAAAAATCCCTTTCTTCCATTTCCTGGAATTCATGTTGATAATATTATTTTACATGATCAGAGGCACGTAGGCATTGTGCCTGTGTTCTCCCTTAAGAGTATCCTCCTTTGGTCTCATTGTGTGGGGATACCTACAGTCCTGTTCGATTTATCATGTCTAGGTGTATTTCAGATCTAGCTTCCCCATATAAGAGAAAACATGTGACGGTGGCACATGCTACTGTGGCACTTTTTTCAGGATTGGATGTACAACTTTAGGCATCTTGCTTGACTCCTGACCTGGAGTTATTTATGCTATCCCTGTCTTCAGAGCCAAAGATACTCATCACCAACTCTCCTCATCTCTGGAAGGCTGTGTGGGCAGAAGCTTGGGCCAGAAATCAGAAGATGCTAGCTGTGGTCCTTGTGCGTCATCACCCTGTCCAGTGCTGTCCAGTGTCTATGGTGTGGGGCTGCTAACCATCGACTTGATGCAGCATATCCGCTTTTCTCTGTGCCTCAGTGAAGATGAGATCAAAGGACCCTGGGTGCGTTTCTTCACACAGAACGTCATTCCTGGGTCTCACCTGCAGCTTGTCCAGTGCCTGAGCCATCCCTCCGCTGTCACATGCCCCCAGCGGTATCCATGAGGTGCTGCTTCCTTCTTACTGAAGCACAAACCACTGAGCAGTGACCACAGAAACAAGGCCAGGAGGAGAGGGTGACAAGTCATACAGCAACTCTGACATAAGTCACAACAGCTTTTCCTTCAAGCGCCCTGGGGTAGGTCCATTGACCAGAGAGAGAGAGAGAGAGAGAGAGGGAGGGAGGGAGGGAGGGAGGGAAGAAGGGAGGGACGAAGGAGAAGAAGAAGAAGAAGAAGAAGGAGAGTGGTGGAGGTCATAAGGTATCATGGTGGGAGATTAGGACTCAAATCAGAAGCCCTGAGTTCTTGGCACTTTCTAGCTTCAGACAAACTTTACTGAGCCTCAGATTTCTCATGGATAACATGGAGGTAGTTTCTGTCCTGTCTCACACAGCTGTTATGACACCAGCAGACACCACGGCTGTGGAAGTGTTTTGCAGGCCCTTGAAGGTAAAGGAGCAGATTTTCCACTCCAGGCGGTGGGTTCACCGGGCTCCCCCACCAGGCACTGCGGCCGCTTGTGGCCATGGAGGATCCCAGCTGTTTGCATACGGCTGCTCTGGGGTGTGTGTTCACCACTTCCCACTCGCCCACACACACAGCAGATTGTATCACATGCTCTCCAAGACACAAAACAAGCTGTGCGGTGGATGCAGTGTGGAGTGGCACAGGTGCAGAGGAAGTGAGTGCGGGGGGTGGGCCAGCAGCCCCACCCCTTCATGCTCAGAGCAGCTTCCTGGTGATGCCCTGCAGCCAGCAGATGGGCCGAGATGTCAGAAGCTGGCCCCTGCAGCCTCTGGCTGCCAGGGGGGTTTTACTAGGATCAGGCCTACCTTGCCCTACTCAGAGGGAAGAAGCCTGCATATAACTGGCCGCTTCCCATTTGCATGGCTGAAGAGCTATTACCTTTGTGGCAATTGGGGTACCAATGATGAAGGTGATGGGAGTGACAATGGGTGTGAGAGAAAGGTGCAAACATAAGTATGGGGGTGTGCATAGACCAAGTGATAGGTGAGTGGACCCTGTGTGTAGGTGTGTATGCAGTATATGTAGTGTGGTGTGTGGTATGGCTGTGTATGGGACATGTATTGTGTGATGTGTGGCTATTAATGTGTGTGTGTGCAGTGTGTGTTGTGTGAATGTTGTGTTGGACTGTGACTCATGGTTGTGTGGTGTATATGTATGGCTGCTCCAAGATGGATTAGGTGCCTATGAGAAAGCTTTTGACATGTGCAGCCCCAGAAAGACCCTTAAAAAAAAAAATCTCATGAGGTTCAGAGCTAGAAATAGGAAGGCGTTCTTGCACAGCCAAGAAGTAATTGAAGGAATGGGAACTCCCAGACCTCAGCCTGCTTAAGTCTCCGCTTTGAGATCCTGGCCCCAAAAGGTCTCAGAAGTTGGGCCTAGGGAAGACAGACCCCTGGCTAAAGGGTGTTGTGGGCAGTACCTACTCTCTTCTCTATTTCCTGTGTGAGTTTGACCTCTGTTTTAATGCACAGTCTGCCCCCATCCCTGATCCTTCTATTTCTCAGGAGCAAGGCAGACAGAAGTGCACAAAGGCCCAAGGATTCAGCTGACCCAACACACATGTTCTGGAGGCCCATAGGGAGGAGCCGAGTGGAGAACATTCCTAGCTAGATGACAGGCAGCCGGAGGAAATAAATAATAGCAGCTGCAGTGGGCGGTGCCCAGAGCCCTGCAGGTGAATTCGTTCACTGTTTTCCTTAATGGCCTCCTCCTCATTACCCTGTGCAACAGGCTGTGTGTTACAGCATTTCTCCTAAGATGCCCATGAGGATGCATGAGACAAACCTCACACGGGCTTCGCACCCAGCCTGGAACGTAGTGACAGTGATTTACCCCTGTTGCTGGGGTACTGTCATTCTATCATGGCCTTTCCCATGGCCAGGCTCTGAAGAGCCATCTTCTGGGCTTTTACAACACAGAAGGCCTCCAAGCTCAGGTGGTTCTCTCATGAGTCATGGCCCACCAGAAGAACCTCCTTGTCTAGAATTCTAGAAGCTACAGCTGCATCCCCATCAGAGAGAAGAAGTAAAATAACTTTCCTCGTGGCCTCTGCTGCCTGGAGGGAAACCCAAGGCTCTCTCTGTTCCGAGCTGGGGCTAGGTAATTGAAGAGTACTGTAGTTGGTGGACCAGACAGGAGAGGGGAAGTGAGACTCAAGAACTAAAGTCAGAGTCCCAGCAAGAGAAGGTTGGAAAGTGTCTGTACCTGAAGAATTATCCTTGAGGCCTGGCTAGAAGACAAGGTCACTGCAGGCCAGATGGAAGATGAGAGGGGACTCTCTCCTGCAGAGAAGTGTCCAAACACAGGCCCTGAGGAAGGGTCTAGGGATACAGAGGGGGGAGTAAGCTACCAGTGGGAGACAGCTGGGATATTCCTTACAGCATATGACATGGCTTAGTGCCAGCACCTAGAATGAGCTTAATGGACAAAGGGTCTTATCACTCTCCCCCACACGGAGATTTTTATATTAACTTCTCCAAACCTTAAGTTATCATTTAACTAGCTCCTAGTTGATAACCCTATAGGAATAGATTGTTTATGTGACTACCTTTGGTTTTAATTAAGTGCTTCTTGATCTTAGACAGTATCCCAGAAACATACGAAGTTCAAGGTTAAGTAATGGATGCTTTTTTTTATTTGACATTTTATTATGCAAAAACCTCTTGCATTTCCTAAAAAAAAATCTTTATTTTCTCTCAGTGCTATCCAGATCTCATAGACTTTGTCCACGTGAGACAAATAAAAGTTTATATTTTTATTTAGTTTTATGACTCTGGGCTTGTGCCTTAATGTTTCCTCAGCGATTTCCTGATCCTCAATAAGGAAAGCACAGTTGATCCTATCACTGACACATTCACCCTACGCGGAACTACCACAGGCCCTGTTGACTTGTGCTGGTTTGTTTGTTTGTTTCAGAAAGTCTCATAAGGATTTTATAGCACAAACCCTTCAAGTCAGCCTGGCATACATCACATGCAGGTTTTAGTGCTCTGCCAATCTTCTGATACAAAGTTAAGCAACTCTATTGCTAGGGGTTCAGGATAGCCTAGTTTGATGATGGTACATCAAACACTGGGCCATTCTTTTTCTTTCTTTCTTTCTTTCTTTCTTTCTTTCTTTCTCTCTCTCTCTCTCTCTCTCTCTCTCTCTCTCTCTCTCTCTCTCTCTTTCTTTGTCAGTTGTCGGTCTTGAACTCTGGGCCTGAGCATTGTCTCTGAGCACTTTAGCTCAAGGCAAGTACTCTACCACTTGAGCCAAAGCGACACTTCCGGTTTTCTGGTGGTTAATAGGAGATAAGAGTCCCAGGGACATTCCTGCCAGGGCTGGCTTTTAACTGTGATTCTCAGATCTCAGTCTCCTGAGTAGCTAGGATTACAGGCATGAGCCACTGGGCCATTCTTAATGTCTCTAGACCTGTTCCTGGAAGATCTCTGTATCAAGATTTTCTCTTTCATGTCCGTATGGATTATCAATCATAATGCTTTTAATTTATCCTACTATAAATAGTCTTGATTATTTTCTATAATATAGAAACTCAATCCATTCATCTACTGAGGGACATCTGGGTTGGTTTCATATCTTAGCTATGGTAAATAATGCTGCAGTAAACATAGTTGTGCTGGTAGCTTTAGTATGGTCTTGTTTGTGACATTTGGGTAAATGCCCAAAAGTGGGATTGCTGGGTCATAGAGGAGCTCTATGTGGAGTCTTTTGAGGAACCTCCATACTACTTTCCAAAGTGGTTGAACAAGTTTACACTCCCACCAACAATGCAGTAAGGTTCCCTTCTGTCCACATCCCCTCCAGCATCTGTTGTTATTAGAGTTCTTGATTATAGCCATATTCAAATTCTTTTTCTTTCATG